GGTGGTGCTTTCAAATGCAGAATGTTGTCATCTGGAGCCTGTGTGACACCCAGGCCTGTGTGTGACTCTCTTACTGGGGTTTGCCAGAGGCTCCGAAAGGCCTCTTCCTTTGCCATGGGCACTTCTGGGTAGGTCCACGTGGGCAGACAGTCTCCACTATACCCTGGGTCAGGAAGAGCCTTCTCTTGCCCCAGAGACTTTAAAAAGCTGAGAGATAGAGGGCTCCCTGGGTCAGGACAGCAAAACCAGCAGGAGACATATTGTGCCAAAATCCAGAGAGACCACTGAGAGCTCTGCCCGTGACTGGGCCCTTACTTTAGAGGAGACAACCCCACATTTGAGACAGGTTGACCCTGAGGAGTTTCCCTAACCTGGTCGACATCTGGACTCCCACAGCGATTGCCCCTGCACTGGCCATCAAGCTGCTCGTAACTCCACCTCCCAAGTCTTTTCAGCATGACGATGCTTGTATACAGACCAGTGTTGTTCTATGGGGTAGTCAGACCTCCTCCAGACATGTCAAAAAGCAGTGTCTTGGGCCCAGCCCTGTGATGTGGCCATCAAGGTTTATGGCTCCCTCACAGATACAGGTAAGCTTAGTCGGATTATCTTTATTGACTGGCATCGCAAAGAAAGCGTTTACTCAATCAGTGGGTGCAGGGTACATATCGGTGGCCAGAGGCTATGTTGATTTATTCCAAGGAAGATACCACATCTGGTACAGCAGCTGCGATTGTCATCACTGCTGATTACGTTTGTTATAATCCATGTCATTCTGCAAGATCCATCTGGCTTTTCCACCAGGCAAACAGACAAGTTATATGGGGGAAGGGGGAACAGGAATCCCCACCTCTACTTCATGACGTCTCCATGGAGACACAATCTCTGTTATTCCTCCAGATCATCTGATTTACTATTTTGAGGATGAGGGCATTTCCAGGAACTGCCATTTGGGCCCTTCTTCCTAACAGTCCTTACTCTGAAGATAAGAAGACCCACGGGGGGATTCCGACAGGTAGCAAATATATGAAGCCTCTAGGACTTCAGCAATAGCCACAAGATAAGCCCATGGCCTAACTGGACCCCCTGTGAAAAAGGCTTGTGCTGCAAATCTACCTATCACCTGCTGCCTCAAGCCGCCTTTTGGCCAACAGGCCACGGTGATAATTTGTGTCTCTAGGGTTAATGTCCTTTCAGAGATCTCATCCAGTCACCCCCAGAAAATCAGATTGTCCCTATCCCTCAGTGCACAGTGTCCTGTTGATAGATCACAGGTCTTTCTGGAGGGACAGCCAGCGTCTGCCTTGTTGATGAGTGCCAAGGTTTCCTCAAACATCTGGTAATGACAGCTAGATGCAGGAGCCCTCATTGAGCTGTGGGGCTTTAAAGGGGTTCAGAACTAGGCACAGTGGGTGGCACAGGGGCGAGGGGGCAAGGGAAACCCAGAACCTCATCCGTGGCATGTGGGATTCAAGATGCCTTAAAACGTCTAAGTGGAAATGTCTAATAAACACTTGTATACTTGAGTCAGAGCCAGAAATCAAAATGGGAAGGTGCCGAGAATTACACAGTAATCGAAGCCATCAACCTGGATACGAACTTGGTGGAAAGGCAGCATTCACGGTTTGTGTGGAAAAAGAGGACCCAGCAAAGAGTTCTAAGGAAGATCATCCAGTGTGGTTTAGTGAAAAACAGAAAAGGGGGATGTCGTGGAGACCGTGGAAAGAAGGTATTTCAGGAAGGAGGAAGTGGTCCATTGCACTAAATGCTGCTAGAAGTTCAAAAAAGAATGAGGACCAAAAAATGGCTCTTTGACTTGGTGACATGAAGATGGCCTTTGGAAGAGCTGTTTCTGTGGGGCTCTGAGGACACAAACGAGACTGGGTGTGCAGCCCATGCAACAAAACACTGCTTATGTCACATAATTCTGTCCTTCAAAAACCATATGGCTTTACGTGTGGAGCTTCTTTACGTGTGTTGATTCTGATTTCTCCCATTACCACATTTGTATGATCCACATTCCAGTGGCCACTAGCTACTGAACAATCTTTTTGTTTAGTTTGCCGACGTAGATTTGGCTCAAGCCTCACAACACACCTGTGAGGCCTCGTCCGAAGGGTTAAGCTACCCGAGTCATTTATTTGTCTCCTGTGCTTCTGTGATGACAAAACCGAGGTGGCAGGGAGCGAGCTGTGAGGTGCTGAGCATGCTAACCGGGTGCCCCGCCTTTAACACCCACCATCTACCGCAGAGAGAAACCAGCCTGGACTTCCTCACGCAAACCTCACGGGCCTTAACTCTCCCCACCCACTGTCACCGGAAATTCAGGAATTGGCATATTTTGTTATGTTTAGCTTTCCTGGGCATCTTTAAATATCTGACATAGTCACCGATATTTTTGAGTATTTCTCTCTTCCCATCTCTGAGTGGGTACAGTCAGGAACCCTTATACCTGCTGACTTTTACACTGTGATTCATAGCCAAACTACATTTGGGCATGAGACCACTGTATTAAGTTCCTTTGGGAGTTGATTCCAAAAAGATAGCCAAATCAGAGTTCTCTTGGGGTTGGGTAACACAGGATTCCAGAGTGGATAGAACGGTAGAATTTCCTTATAAAGATCATTAATGCGTAAGCAGGAAGAGTTAGGCTAACTAAGCATTAAATGGGAATTTAACTACCCGTAACTCTGGGATCAAGGTGAACCTAAAACAGCACCCAGCCAAGAAAACAAGATTGACTGACAGCAACCAAAGGTTATTAAAACTGTTTTCTACAAAACGACTCTGAGGAGGCTTAACGAAGAGCTTCATTCCCACGGCTTTAGTCATTCGTTTGGACATAAGCGGCATTCTTCTGGTGTCTACATCTCGTTCGTCACAGCAGTGGTTTGGTTTTCTGCAAACCTGAATTGTTTCCATGTGATAAGGATTGACTTGTTCTGTGTTTTTTCTCCTGGAATGCAGATCACTCAGTAGCCAGGCGACGAAGTCATCAAATTGTTACTTCTCTTGGGACACAGCTCTTAAGCGGGAAATAGAAGCACATTTTTCATGGGGAAGATGGAAGTCTGAAGCAGACTCGTTGCACAGATTTAGAAGTGATAGTGAATTATAAGTTGGATGGAATGCCACGGTAGATTGAGCAACAATGATCCGAGGCGATGACTCCCCACATAGGCTGAATTGAGGAATGCAGGAGGACGCGCTGGACCATTTTCTCCATGTCGTGTCAGACGGGTGCTCTGGAAACCTGGGTGCAACAGGGACGAGCTGCTCAGGAGGACACCAACAGTAACGGCCCTGCACACAGGGCCTCGCTCCATCCTCACTGCGAGCTGGAGAGCAGTGTCCCCTGCAAGGAACGAGCACCTGACATTCAGAAGGGTGACATGTCAGAGCCACTTGGAGCACAGTTGGCACCTGAGCTCACGGATCAGGCCCCAGAGGCCATATTATTAATCACTGGCCCCTGTAGCATAAGTGACTTCCGCAAGTGCCATGCGTTTCTTTGCAATATCCAAACGTGTCTGTTTCAGTGCTTCTTTAGGTGCTGGCTGAGCATGGAGGTGACGTGTAGGAACCAAAAGCAGCATGCTCGTTAAAAACGGTCTACACCGTGGCGGTCATTCGATTGCGTGCAAGGTCTACAAAAATAATTTTAACATTTAGTGAGGCAGAAATTGAGCATATCTTTTTCTCTTCTAATGAGAACTTTTTGATATTTTCAGAATGTTCATGTATTTTGTTTCCTTTAACAAGGCTGCATAGTTTTATATAGAAAACAATGTTATCAAGGCAAAATGTCCCTTTGAGAACTTAATAATTAATTCCAATGGAGACAAATGAGTAGACTCAGGGAAGCGGCAGGATAAATATTGACATAGACAATCAGTGTATGATTTGGTCAGCTGCCTGAAATTCTTTCTCAAGGTGAGCGTAAAAGCGTCAGGCTAAGACAGCTAAACAGAGCAGAGCCCACCAAGAAGATGGCTCGACGGGAAAAAGTAAAATGACTTTTCATAGTGAAGGAGCTATAATGAAGGAAGGGAGAAGAAAACTTTTAAAACTATAGTGTCAGGAAATGTTCCCATCGTTAGAAAAACTAAGACAAGTAAGGGTGATTTAAGAGTGGATGGTGTGAGTATTTATTTTCTTTTATCTTTTTTATTTCTGAAATGTGTTAAATATGCATGGAGTTTTAAGAACATTTTAAAAGTCAGCCATTTTATTTGCTCAGTATTAAAATGATTGTATGACAAAGAATGGGCCCGTCGGATCTTTTCACCAGCAAATACCTGAAAACATGAGATCTTACTCAAAGTACTTAACCATTATACTAGACTGCCTCCTTCAAGCAACTGGAAAATTTTCATCATTAGTCATTCAGTGAGAATAATCTTTAACAGTATTTCATGCAAATCACCTTGAAAAACAAGAGAAACTAAAATACTTAAAACACACAGCAAAGCAGTTTTGTGACATAGCTTTAGCATATTCTGGGTTAGCAATGAAATGTGAGTTTCTCTTTGCTGTTTTCATATTAAGGTTTGGTAGAGATGTCTAATGGTTGTCGATGCCAGTTTGCAGAGGAATATTGCTTAAACAGGACTACATACTTGTTCTTTACTTCCTCTTCAACGTGTTGCCTTGTCTTAAACTGACCTATTAAATACTTCAGTAACCTTTCTAACAATCTAGACTACAATGAAGATGGTCAAAAAAGCAAGCTATCTCAAATTGACCGTGATGATGAAACACTGTTATATTCTTTCTTCTGTTATTCTTTTTTTTGTTATGAACAATTTTCCAAATACTTCATGTTGTGTTGTCTTAACAGCATTAGACAAAGTCATTAAACAAATTAACCACTGGCTAAAGTTTACTGTTAATACTCTAGGATTTGGTGGGGGAGATGCTTTGTGCTAAACACAAGCACTATATAAATAAGCCTCTATGAGGGTCTAGAAATGGGAGAGTGATATATTTCTTTCTTTAGGATGTGTTTTATAAGACAGGAAGAAAGCCACTTAGAGCGGTCACGAAGAATTCTTGGTCTGGAGCCAGTGCCTGGCTCGGCCACGACGAGCCGTCTGACCTGTGAGATTTGAAGATGCTCTCAGCAGAGCCTTGCAGCGAGGGGGAAATAGAGACACACACTTAAAGGGCATGTAGGCGGCACCCCGCAAATGTCGCTGTGGAGTGCTGGAGAACTGTGGGGAGAGGAAGAGGTGAGACCCGTTTGAGTTCCAGAGGGTGCTGTGCTCTGCAAGTACACAATGCCACGCACACTTTACACAGATTACTGCACGCTAAATATCCATTCTTGAAAAAACTACAAATGTTACGATGTTCACCGGAAGACTATTTTACAGGATAATTATATGATTTCTGAGGAGTACTTAAAAGTGAATTATAGGGCGCAGTTTCCATGTTCTTAGAGAACTAATGGGTTTCTTTTCACTGTCCTTTAAATTGCACCCCGAAATCTCCTGGCACATGCTATCATTCAGCCGCAAAGAGGATGAAACTTTATTTTGCTCCCTGGTGACATACAATGATTAGTCATTGTCCCATGAAACAGCTCCTGACACTTAACCCATCTCGTGGCCTTTCAATAAGCTGCACAAGAACACCACTTTTCCTTTCAGTGGAAGGTGCTTTGATTTTCATCATCTTCTCCAAATAGATTTTACCCAAAGGAACCAAGCTGTCACTCACACCATGTGAAGCAGGACTGAAATCACCTTCACTCGGCTCTGGCTGGTTAGAGACTTTCTCGGTGCGCAAAGACCCGGGTAGGTCATCTACTCTACCTTCTGGCACAAGAAAACCCACTTTCATGGTTGCTTGACTGATTAAAGATCTCACTACATTTTTCTCGTGGCCATTTCTTTCAGCCCGTTGGGTTCTCCGTTATTTCCATTTTTTACCTCCCCAACAGCACAAGAGACCTAGTCAGGCCTGTTCATCACTCCTCCTCAAACACCGCCTCCGACGCATACTGTACTGGTTTTACATATTATCCAAATACGGTAAAGCCTGGGAAGGGAGTGGGGGTGTATAATGACAGATTCTGAATATTTCATATCCTCTCTACTTATCTGATGTCACTAAACTTTTGCACTCTGAATATGGCCTCCCCAGTCTTTTGAAATTCTAAGTGTCCCTCGTGAGGATTTGTGAATGATGCCGACACAGCGGTCACCTAATTCACATTTCCCAGACGGCAAATTGCCAAGCTCATGCTGAGGGATGCTCCCCCAAAGCGACTCCATGGCCATATAACCATGTAAAAACCCGGGCAAACACAGATGAACAGTACATCTCTACTGAAGGCGCTCTCAGACTCTTGAATACACATTGATCACATGACGAATGCCCCAAAAGGAAGCAGGTATGCAGCTGTCCAAAATGCTTTCCTTTGTCTGTTGCAAAGAAAGGTTGTGGAAAGCTTTCGCAGAACTAGCGTTCCGAGGATTCTGTTTTGGAAAAGGTTGCTCTGAAATACGGAATACTTCCTAGAACGGAGCTGGGTTAAGAGGCGGATTCGAGGCTGGTCCAGTAGGGCAGCTCCTTGGGGAGCCAATGCGAAGGGCGAGGACAGACTAGGGCCCGCGAGTCTGCCCTGGGAATGCAAGGAAGGGAGACGTCACCTTCACCAGAGCACGTCCAAAAAGGATGTCCCACGGAGAAGCAAGGTGGGAAGGGGGACCCCACAGAGGCGCTCGGCCAACATTAGAATGTATCTGGACAGGGGACAGACTGAGTAACACACCATGACTCCCCCTGCTTTACATAGGTGCCAGCCAGATGTCTGAACAGCAGCCCCCGGGACTGCGCTGCTCTGTGCCCGGAAGCCCACCTGCCACCTCGCCACGTCAAGGTCCAAGCGGCTCTTCTGGCATTCTCTGTCTCCTAGTTGCCAGCCTTTAGGGAGGCATTTCGCATGAAGACAGTGAAGGGATTACGAATCTAAGTAATGACTAGACGTTTACTCGGTTCCTTTAAGAGGCTAAGCCCTGTACTGGTTCTCAGATTTCTTCTAGAGTACCTCTGAAAGAAGACTGTTCTTCCCAGGTATTCTTAACTTCACAATTCTTTTAAATGTTAGTATCATTAAATATCTTATTTAAAACCCCATCTATAGAAAAAATTACATAATATCTCTTGAAGTCTAACCATATAAAAAATTAATTTGCTGACACAGACTATAAGCAAAGCATTAATCTTCTTCCATAACATTTCATATGTGTGTGTGTATCTAACCATCTTCCACTGCGGATTTTTTTTAATTAGATTTGAGACTCCTCAGCTAATTCCTTTTGTCTTATTTTTACTTTTCCTTACTTGGTGCCAGTTCACAATCCACAGTCAGTGAGGCTTTCTTGATAATGAAGATAGAAACAGTAGGGATTTAAAATTTGCAAAATCTATCTGAAATTCTAGGAAATATTTCCATTTTCCAAAATGTTTTTTTCACTTTGGTTAGCGACTCAGAGGAAACATCAACAAAATGAATATCTATAGTCGGAGAAGAATTTTGTAACTCGTCACAATACGGTAAAGCACCTTCGCGGGCCACAGAGATTTTTATTTGTGTCACAAGTGGAAAATTATTTCTTGTTCTTCTTTTGAATCTTACAGAAGATATTTGGTTTGGCGTTTCATTTCATTCTCGAGAAGCTCACTGGTTTTTGTTTTTTTGACTTGAGTGTTTTAGAATTTTGTAGACATAGCCAGCATTTCTCATTTAAACATGGCTAGGTTTTGTCATAGTTTCTATTACCAGATAATTTGTTTGTAACTTTGTTTTCATGGAGACTATTTTTACCAGAAAAACACAATTCCCTATTTCTTCATCTTTAATTTGATGATGGTGAATTTATTAAGACAATAATAAATGACATAAAAATTATTGATAACAAACCTCTCAAAATAGGAACCTGAGATGCTGTCTTATCAAATTACCCTCTGAAGAGTTCTTAAAAATGCTTGTAGTTATTTTTGTAATCACCGTTTGACATTATAAAATAGACAAAATAACAGTTCACTCATTCCAAGATTGTTAACGGGATTAATAAGCCATGGCATGCAAAGTGGACAACACAGTATAGTGAACACTCAATAAACAAGATCTATTTTTATTTTGGTTAAAGGTATAAAGGTATGTGACAAATTCATGTGTGAAATATCACTGTACTAGTGGACCACATGAATCTCTTTTTCTGGTTTACCTAAACTCTGTAAAACACAGCATGATGAAATTTTAAAAATCGGGTAAATAAAATTACATTTTAAATATTTTAAGATATATTAATTCTGATAGATTACTAACCAGATTTGGGAATATGATGCCCTATGCCTTCATTGTTTTACTAAGGTATACCCACCACCTCCTTACTGATTCTTCAAAGGTATTTTATCTGTCATTGGCTCCACTCGTTCTGGAGTTTCTAACTTTGTATACCATTATTTAAATTCTTTAAGATCCTTTTTTTCCATTTCCACATTCAAATCCTGTAAGAAATTCTGTGACGTGCTTCCTGAGACACACGCTATAACATCCTTCACATCTGGACTGCCCTTACATAATCTAAATCTTGATATTTTTTAATGCCATGTTTCATGTTGTTAGTATGCTGTTGTTTTGATGCATTTGTTTATTTTTCCTTAGTAATATAGCATGGACCGTGAAATCAGAGATGTCCCTATAGATAGCAGTACAGTGTTAGGTGTGTGTGGGTGGGTAATACGTAAGTTAGATTTATTAAGTACGAAAAATGCCAACAATGGCAACGAGGTCTTAGACGCTGTCTTCAAGGCAACGGGAGAGCTTTCTAAGGTTCTTTGCGTCCTTTCGGGTTCAGAGCTTTAGTGCTCATGGCCCTCTCTTTAGCATCACTTGGACTCACAAAAGTGTTTCTAAGTTGCACTGTCCTTTCTCCCTTTATTTACTCTTTCACTTTGGGAATGATCCCAACATGGCTCTGCTTTCTCTGACATACCTTGGGGCTAGGTTTTTTCTGAACATAAAATAAAATGCAACCTTTGGAAGGCTATTTATCTGTCTTCAGAAAAGGTCATGGGAAGAATGCCATGGAATTTTCAAATGGTTCATCCATCAAAAGTGCAGTTCCCCATTGATTCTTCGTGAATTGTCAATTTCCAAAAAAGCCTCGGGGACAAGCCTCATTTTTTGAGAAGAAATCCTTGGTAAGGGAAAAAATGAAGTGATAAATGATTTTTCTGGTGTTCTCCTCTGGGAAAAACAGTCAACTTGCTCTTAGCCTCAGGCAATAGTGTTTCATGAACAGACTGGACAAAAGGAATTTGTGGTGATAATGATAATGTGAATTTGGCAATAATGGTATAAGAAATAAAGAAGTTGCTGCTTAAATATGAGGCTCCTATGAATGGCCTGTGTTGGAGAAAACTAGCCAAGCCCAGAAATTAACTTAACCCAATGGAGATTGCCAAATACAGTATCACATATTGGCTAAAATAAATATCTTTTAAAAAGAACTGGAAATATCATAGAAAAATTAACCTCCTTTTTGGGTCCATGAGCCAATAAACTAAAATAATCCTCAGCAAATCGCCTAGGCTTAACCATTCCTGGCACTAAGAAGAAGCATATTTAATGAGAAAAGCTGATTAAAAAAAATAAAATGGGAAAGGCCACTGTGCACAGCATATTACTGGACATTTTTGCAGCCACTTACCACACTGGAATGTGCTTGGTAAATAAAACTCTGCTACTCCTTCCATTTCACCCTCTCATTTTGACCTTGCCATCCAAGGGAATGCTAATGTGAATTATTCTCCTGCTGTAACTTATCACTGCTATTCTTTAATGGCTGACATTAAATGACTAACACTGTGGTGTTGGTGAGGCCTGGCTCCCGGGGCGGGGACAGAGTAGCTAACAATCTGTGGGTGTGCTGGGCCAGACTGTTTGAGAAGGAAAATAATTTGATAAAAGGTCAAAAGTTATATCTTGGAAAAATATAATTTTTAGAGATCAATTGACGGTTTTATCAATATCAGAATTTTTAGCATCAACGTTATAAAGATGTAGAAGTATAATCTGCCCACCTTGGCAACTGTCTTCGAAATGCTGCATTTTTTCATCCTTGGAAGTTCCAAATGAATCTTTTCAAATCTTCCATCTCTCTCATTGTAGGCATGTTTTCTTTTACATTGTTGGCAAATTTTCAGCATTAATAATAGCTGTTTTATGGTTTTTCTGCTACTCCTCCGTCTTTCATTTCTAGCTCAGTTTTTGCTGGTTAATGTTTCTCCTATAATGACTCATGTTTCTCTTCTGTCCATGCCCGCTAGGCTCTGCTCGGCTGCTCATCACGTAGAGCTGCACTATCAAGCACTGGATTCTGTCGTATTCCTTCGGAGAGCATGGGGTTCTGTTTTGGCATGCGGGCAAGTTACTGCAGGTCATTTTCATCTTGATGAAATAGCTTCTGGGCTTTCGCAGGCCAGGTCAACAGCAGCCGGTACTCCAGGGCTGTGTCAGCCCCACAGCTAAGAGACCCTTCTGAGGAGTCTAACCGAGCTCCCGTCCCTTGTGCGTTCTCTCCATTCTGACTGCTGGAGCGCATGCTCTTCCCAGCCCTGGGCAAGGTCCCGGGGTGTTGGGCCTGCTGGCTCCTGGAGGTTTCCCCCAACTCAGGACGTGCGAGTCAGTTTTCAGCCAGAGGCTGGAGGAGACCCTGGCGATCTCAGCAACGCCCTCCATGTGGCTCCTTCTCCCAAGAGCTCTGCCCCATGCAAGTCAGCACCTTGGCCTCCTGGACGCCGTTCTCAGCCTCCTCGATTCGGCAAGACCTCCAGACTTTCCTCATGGCGCCTCTTCCTGTGTGCTGGTGTGGAGAGCTCTCCAGGAAGTAATCTGAGGCCATTTTAGGGCTCGCTTTGTTTTTCTTTTCTCAGAAACTTATACCCTAGGCCACCAGTTGTCCAATGTCTAAAAGTGTTGTTTTGTATATTTTTTGTATTCTTACAGCAGGAGGGCATTCCTTCAGATGAGTCAAGAAATCTCTGCCTGGGAGAGTCTGAAGCCTTAGGCATTACCCACCTCACCATATGGTGTGCTTATTCAAGTAGAGGGAAAAAAATTTTCCTGTGATCATTGTAACTGGGAAGATAGCTAAGCTGCTAAACAAATAATCAAATGGAATTTTAAGGGTCTCATTTCTCTGAAGTGTTCTAAATGCTATAAACCTGCAAGAATATAAGTCCTAGATTGATACTCTTAGACCATTGCCCTGCCCTAAGTGGATCGTGACATGGTTTATTGGAGAAACTGACACTAGGAGCAGCCACTACTCCCCACCTAGATACTCCATCATTTTAACGAATGTAAATTTTAGACCGATTTCTGTCAGATGATATAGAGATATAGAGATATGGACATACAGAGACATATTAGCAAGCAGACGGCCTGCAGCGTCTGCATTTCTCAAGGTGTCTGTTCTCTCACTGACTCAGGCACACCGAGCAGCAACATGAACAGCCGTCTTTCCCTGACGTGGACATTTCAGGTTCTTACAACCAGCTCAAGAAATGCAGAGAGGACCAAGGGTCTCCTGACCTCAGGGACTGCACCAATGGTAGGGACAGTGGCTGGCTGAGGTTTACACCTTGTGAAAGGACCATGTCCTTGTATATCATTCTTCATCAATAATAAAGAATGCTAAATTGTTAATACCAATTAGGGTTATTGTGTTTCTATTATATCCTGATTAGCTCACTCTACTAATGTTTATGAGCAAAAAACCACAGTATTTGTAAGGAAAGAAATACTTGACATACAACGCGAATGCAGTGTAAGTGGAATGAACGAAACTGAATCGTCAGGTCTTCTTCTCTCAGAAAATAAATGTGTGGGAGGGGTAGAATAATCACTTTGCTATTTTTTCTCTAACATTTTGCACTAGCCACCCTTCTTCTGATTCTGAGGCAGTAACTGGTGAATGGGTATTTTGACCTCAAATTATCCAAAGTCAAGGACAGATATTGTAGCTACTTGCTCAGAAGCTGTGGGGGTCCTTCCAGGGGTGACTATTTTTGGAAATACAGTGGCCCCTGCAACAGGGTGGACAGAGAAGCACACACAAGCTACCCAGGGGCCACCTGGACCCCTGCCGTTTCAGGGGCTGCTGGTCTTCGTAGCTGTTTTTCCCAGGGTGTATGTGTGTCTTCAGAACTGGATAAAAACATCAGTCTCCTTCATTTGGAGTTTCACCAAATGTAACCACCAGCCATGGTGAATTTTTAAAGCATGTAAGAGTTTATGTGCAGAGTATAGTGCCGTCTCACTTTTCTGTCCCCGACATGAATGAAAGAGCGATTCATCTAAGAACAAGGAAAGGCAACCGGACTTTCTATGAGCCAGTTACAGAACTCTGCATGACTTGCTGGGAACTTGCTACAGGACCCGCGTCACCTTGAGCTCCTTCTCAGAAAAACAAGACTAACCTAACGGTTTTACTGCTCTGATAAAGTTGTTTTCAGAAATGAAAATAGATGCTACCTGAAAAACAATCCGCAAACACTCCCAAAACAAGTATGTCTGCAAAAAAAGTTTTGTGATGGTCAATTCCGCTGCTGAATGAAAGAGATACAGGGAGGAGAGGGAAGGGAAGAGAAGGGGAGGGGAGGGGAGGGGAGGAGAGAAGGAAGGAAGTCACCTTTGCTAAGGACAGACAGCTGTCTTCCCACAAGGTCTGTGTGTCTGAATGACAATGCCTGGTTTGTACTTCTGGTTTTCTCTGCAGCTACTTTCTTCAAGATAAAGAGAATTGGGCATCCTACTTTTAGTCAAACCTTATTTGGAAGAGTCTCACCAGGAGATTTTTGAGGATTACGAAGCAGAGCCTGGAGACGCCTGCTAGCAGTCTGAAGTGTTCGAAGGGAGAGGGTGTATAGACCATGTCCATTTTAAGGAAAAGAATTTCCTGAGAGCATCAGTCTTTTCTTGAATGTGCAATTTTTTTTTTTTTCCAAATTCAACAGCTCAGAGCTTAGTTGGAACACCCATTTATGCTTACTGGCAAGTAAAGGCAGAGCCAAACATAAATAAAATCAGCTTCAGAAGAGGGGTGGCGATGTTTAGACCAAGATTGAGTTAGTTTGTTTTACTTTAAGAACACAGGGAATACATTTTAGGTTTAAGGGTTGCTCACATGTTCTTTCCAATTAGAGTATTGCTAGTTTCAGAATGTATACAATTCTTTCAACTCAGATAGACTACTAATAACACCTGGGGCGATTGTGGTATCATCACAATTAATAATAGTGTCATTAGTTACATAGTAGAAACAGTATATATCATAGTGGATATTAATAATAATATCCACTGTGATTGTGGTATTGCTATACTCCCTTCTCTACTCCCTCTGAAGAAGAGAGGTAAATGAGAGATCATTAAACCAACCTACCAATTTACCAACCAATTATCTAAAAGTGTTCAGATGATGCTAGTACTTTATGGTTTGTAACCAAACTTTACAAGATTAATTAAAGTGTTTCTTTGTAGCCTCAGGGGGGAAGCTAAATCTCTTTTAGAGAACCAAGCAATTGTTTTCATGCAGATAATGGAAATAATATTGTAAGTATGACTATACCCTGAGTAAAATGTCAATGACACAAAAGATAACATGATACTTGTTGAGCAAATATTTAAAAGTGTAGGAATAGTCATCAAATAAGGACATGACTGTGGATTGTTGATTTTTTAACCTATATTTTTTTCCTGAAATTTTTACAATGGGCATATATTCACAGTTTTATGTTTTTAAAACAAGAGAGTCATGCTTGGAATGGGAAAGTTGAAAACAAAGAATACTCACAATTTCACGGAATCAAAATGGACAATGAACACGACCTAGGAGCAGCAGTGACCACGCCGAGTGAGCTTCAGAGACTCAATGGAAAGACAAACCGGGCAGCCTGCAAAGCTGGCTGTGACCTACAAGAGTACTTGGTACATACTCTTCTTAAAATCTGAAAATACACGTAACCTGCAAACATGTAAAAGCAAAACAAAATATCTGATATTCTTAAACAAATAGAGATACGCACATTTATGACAAAATATGAGCCTGCTGTCACACCGCTGACCGAGAAAACATTGCTGAGGGTTGGCTGTCGAGTGTGCGTGTACGTGTACACGCATGCACATGCATGCATGACTGCACACCTGCGTGTGTCTGTGTCACTAAATCCCAGCCAGTTAACACTCGGTTAAGAAAAACTTAATCATTGTCTAAGGCGAATCCGGATACCTCCCAAGCACCACAGAACAGCTCCAAACCTTCACTCGCCAACTCCCCTTCAAGAGGAGGTGGTGCTAGAGCCTCAGAGCTCAGTAAGAGCCACTCTTCCCTCGAGGGGCTGATTGACGGATGAATAAATGACAAGTCTGTAGCAAGGAGCCAAGGGCCAGGCTGGCGCACGCTGTCCAGCTCCTCGTAGAGATCCTTGGACAACCCAGCTGGCCCCTGTGTGCCTGCACGACTCGCCCC